ACATACAACTTTCCTCTAGTTCTCTAATGCTCACTCCTCCCCTAGCCATGATCCTAATCCTACTTTACAAATCCGGCTAGACCAGAGGCTGAACATTGGTAGCAATAAGAGCTGGAAACCCAGGATACCCCCCTCCCCCCCAAGACCAATAGTGAGTAGCGATACCAGGAGGGCAAAGGAAAGGTGGGAGGAGATAGGGGGTACCAGGGTACCGATCACAATGATCTACATATAACCCCCTCCCTGGGGATGGACAATAGAAAAGTTGGTGAAGGGAGCTATGTCAGTGTAAGACATGAAAAAATAATAATTTGTAAGTTATCAAGGGTTTGTGAGGGAGGGGGGAAAAATGAGCTGATACCTAGGGTTCAATTAGAAGGAAAATAGTGTGCAAATGATGGCAACAAATGTACAAATGTGCTTGACACAACGGACGGATATATGGATTGTGGTAAGAGTTGTATCAGCTCTCAATAAAATGGATAAAAAAATAAAACCATAAAAAATCCTTACATGCATGATTACGGATTTTCTAGTACTTCTGATGGTGAGCCTTTCTTTGCTGTTTATCACCTTTACTATTGTCTTACATAAGCAACAACCATGGGGGGGTGGGGGGTGCAGTGGTTATACTTCGGGTTGGTAACCACAAAGCCACCTACCCTGTAGGACAAAGATTAGGTTTTCTATCCCCTTAATGTGTTGGAAACCCAGGGGTAGTTTTACCCCATCCGACAGGGTTGGCTGAATCAACACTGACTCCATGGGAACCAGTTGCCCAAGGAAGCAGAATCACGGGAGTTTCCTGGGTTGAGATGTGTCAAATGGGCCTTTCCAATGGGTAACTTCACAAATCGTTAAGTAGGTCTATTCCAAGGTGCTCTGGGTAGACTTGTACCCATAAACTTTAATAGTCTAAGTGCCAGTGATTTATGCCAAGGATGCTAAATATTTCTTTCCTACCAAGGTATCTTTGTGTGTGGCAAAATATAAATCTTGTCACTTCAGCAATTTTCACAAGTACCCTATGGAAATGTTGCACAACTATCATAGTATCAGCTTATAAATTTTCCATCACTTTTAACATATGTTCACTGCCCCTTAAGAACTCCTTCTCTTCCTCTAACCCTTTGGTAATCTCAACTACACAAATGCCTATTGTACATACTTTATCAAATTGGGATATGTGTTTGTTCATGTGTCTAATGCCAGTTTTCAAGGTTTATCCACTGTAGCATATTCCAGAGCATGATGTGTTTTTTTTAAGGCTGAGTAATATTTCACTGCATGTGTTACACTTTGCTCACCTATAGACTCAGATGCGCTAAGTCACTTTAACATAATTGGCCCATTAGGGGTGAAAACTGTTCTATAATCTAAGATCTTAATGAGTCAGGAATTAACTTTACTCAAAGAATGTTTCCTGCGAAGTAACTTCTAAAGACTTGGCATTTTCCAGTTCATTGGTGTGCTTAGCTCTTCACGGCTGGGCCCTGAACCACGGGAGGTGTTTAGAAGACTCAGGATAGGGGGTTGCATGGCACATTCCCCAGGTCTAAAAGCTCAACCACTACACACATACATTCTAACTCTGGGCAGACAATAGGAAGCCCTTATTCCCTTTGGCTGGTTCTGACTTGTTTCCTTTTGGCTATAATAACATTGTAAGAACAGCACTTTCCTAAGTGCTTTACATTATTCTAGCAAATTGCTAAACCAGAAGGCACTTTGAGAACCCCAGAATATGGCCAGCTGATCAGATGAGCGGCCTAAGGGACCCTTGGTGTATGGTTGTTGTCCTCAGGTGGTGGTATCTTGGGGAGGGCGGTGCCCTTAGTATTTGAAGTCTGGCATACTACAAGCTGGAGTCAGACACATTTTGCAAACAGATGTGAATTCCTATCCACAAGCTATAAAATGGTGATAAAAACTTTTTTGCTTTTATACTGAGGCTTCTAAAAATGCTTTGGAAGTAACTTACAAAAACTAGGGACCCAAAGAGGCATTGAAACACAAATGAGTTTTCGATCTAGTAAAACCAAAATTATTCAGGCAAAAGGAGTATATATCTTACAAAATTAGTTTTTACCCAAACGTAACAATTTAAAAATGTATTCTCAGGTATAAACACACTGGTTAGTTCTCTAGGTTACATGACAATGCTTTATTGCACCTATTCATTCAAATGAAAAATAGCAGCATAGAATGGCAGTCAGGAGCAGAGATAAAACCAGGATGTCTGGGTTTAAACTTCGAATCCACCATGCACTGGTTTTGACTTTTGTCAAGTTCCTGAACCTATTATTGTTCTAGCCTGTCACTTTGGCCTCACAGACACTGCAGAACGTCCTACTGAGTTTTCTGAACTAAAAGCGTCAAAGTAGATCGTCAGGTCTTTTCTTCCGGGAAACAAAAATTTTGACATCATCTGTGATCTTTCTGTTTAGTAGTGAAGTGCTTAATCATTGTGCCACCAGGGCTGCTTTACTTAACCATCCTTTAGTATAAATGTTTCTTCACCTGCAATATAAAAATATAACCTGTTTTATCCAGCTGTCTTGAGTAGTACTTAATCAAATTCTTGAACAGTGCCTAGCTCTTAACAACATGTACTGCATGTTTCTAAGGTACTTCTAAGAACCAACTGATATGTCAGGTGCTATTCCATTCCACAGTGTTGCTATGTATCAGATTCAACTTGATGGGCTTGGGAATTTTGTTTCTCTTATTGGTACTAGAAAATGGGGATAGAATGGTTGGCTAACACATAAAAAAGTCCAGCTTAAATGCTGGATATTTCTATTCCACTCAAAGGAATAGAAATATCCTAAGATAAAATAATAGGATGAATTAATAAGCAACTGAAAGTGTTATGAAGGATGTGTCACTAGAAGCATTAATGCACCCAGTTAGTTCCTAAGGAAACGTACAGTAGGTTCAGGCTTAATATCTAACCTTACTATAAAGAGCAAAGTCTTAAAAGGATACTTAATTTGATCAGGCAGTATATTTGTTCAAAAAGGAATGGCAAAGGAATGCATTTTAACAAAGTTTTGAGGAACATAACAGTATTTCAGATGGGCAGTTTTTGTAATGATCATTAAAATTATTCTATTTTATCCAAGCCAATGTATTTTAAATCACTTTACATGCACAGACGTGTTAAACAATGATTCAGGAAGATTGGATAATTGATGCCTTTGAATTAATGTGTTGGTGGACTGCCAGATGAATGAACAAATATGCCTTGGAGAAGTACAACCAGAATTTCCCTTAGAAGGGAGGGCGGTGAGACTTCATTTCGTGTCCTTTGGAAGTGCTATCAGGAGGACATCAATCTTGGTGGAGAGGGTTGCAATAAAAAAAGAAGATGCTCAACACGCTGGATTGACTCAATGGCTGTTAAACAATGAGCTCAAATATAGCACTGACTGTGAGGATGACACAGCACTGGATAGCGTCACTGGTTATGAGCTAGAACCAATTAATCCCACCTAATAACTACTACATGGGAAAACTAGCAAGTCATCATTAAGCATATACGAAGATATATTCTTTAAAAAAGCTACTCTATAAAAACATCATTGAAATCAAACAATAGTTATTTAGAAGAACAGTCCCCAAATTTGTGCACTAAAGGTAATGTCAAATGGATAAAGCCATAGGTATCTACAGTTAAAAGAGGCAAACCAGGCAACTCCCACTGAGCATAAATTATAGGTTATGTGGGAAGCAGGCAAACAGGAAAAAAAAAAATCCACCGCTCACTCGCCCATTCAAAAAGAAATGAAAAAATACAAAAAGCAATCACTATTAAAATAATTTCAAAACTGGCACTGAGTTTACATTTCAAATCTGAGAATATGGCATCATGAAATAGGTGGAATAACAGAATAAATGCTGAATTTGAGCCAATTAAAATTATTTTTCCAGCAAAGTCAAAATATAACTTGTTAATATTCTAATAGAGAATTTTAAAAGGAATAACCTGGTTGCTTAATAAAAAGGTTATACAAACATGCCCTGATATCCTAAACCTAACAACAGACCTTAAAAAGCTATTAAAAATTTACTGTGGATGCACGCTCAAGTTAGAACACTTGTAATTAAAAAAGAAAAAAGGAAAAAGTCGTGGGGTAGAAAAAGTCCAGTCACTTAAAAATATTTGTAAGAACTCTTTAAGGTTCTGCTCACCTTTAGCAATTAACCAAAGGAGTCCAAGTAAAATGTAATGGAAGAACTGAAATATCTAGCATAAAATAAAAATTATAAATAAAATATAATAGTTACAGACCTTTGCCAGCACATGGTTACACCAAAGTTACATTGTATACTGTCAAAGACTCGATTATGGTTGATTTGTGTAAATTTTTAATTATTTTAAACTACTGACTTGTTTTTAAACAAAAACCAACAGATCTCAAGAATTATGCTTTAGTGCACTAAAAATACATGGTTAAAATGAAATGTTCTACTTTCATAAATAGTATCGAATAAGACTCAGTTTTGTAAATGTTCTATGGCAGTGGTTCTCAACCTTCCTAATGCTATGACCCTTTAATAGTTCCTCATATTGCGGTGACCCTCCAACCATAAAATTATTTTCGTTGCTACTCATATCTGTAATTTTGCTACTGTTATGAACCGGGTGACCCCTGTGAAAGGGTTGTTCGACCCCAAAGGGATCGCGATCAACAGGTTGAGTACCGCTCTTTTCAATTATGTAAGATTTTAGCATTAGAGAACGATGAAAGGACATGACATACAGGAAATCTCTGTATTATTCTTTTGCAGATCCTCTGTAAATCCTTAATTATGCCAAAGTAAAGTTTAAAAAAGCTCAGCATCTTATGTGCTGAGCAAGTAAAATCACATTTTAAGTTTCCCCTGCTGAATTTCGGCATCATCCTAGTCACACCAAAAGAATCTGTCTACATTTGATGCCTTACTACTTTAAATACTAAGGAAGACAGCAGTACTTGAAAAAAGACTCAATAAGGTTAACTTCAGGAATTTTTATTAATATTTGAAACAGACTTAGAAAGTAGGACACATCTTGCCTAACTGTAAGTTTATCCCTAAAAATGTACAGGTCTAACACAAGGACGACTCAGGTTGTTATCTGAGCAACAGTCAGAGGGTCTTAGAAGTACAAAAGTAGTCTGAGGGTCACCACTAAAGCCAGACTAAATTACGTAAACTAGATTCTTAGAAAAGTGATCAGCACTTTGTAACTCTGAAGTGGATAAAACACCTGGCTTAAATATTTCATGACACATTAAGATATTGTTTGGGAGGGTGGTTTCTCAAGAAGGCAACATCAGAAAAAAATCTTACTGATCATTAACTTGAAACAAATCAAGTACTAACATCTCCCCTCAAACAATTAACAAACTTTCATGTCTTTGAATGTATGCATGTTCCTAAATCATGTTAGATAATTTGTCTTAATAGTAAGCTTTGCTAGTTGCCAGATTTTTTTTTGAGTCCATTTGTAACAAAGGTAAAACATTTAATAATTATGTACTACATCTAGCAGTTATTTGCTAAGGGTAGTAGAATGTCATACCTTAATTAACCTCGTAACCAACATTGTATTTGCACCCCCCAAAATGTATTACCAGAATTCCATTAATTCCAAAGAAAGATAATCACGGGGACTGGGGGATCATTTTAATCTAAATAAGCATAATTCATGCACAAAATTAAGTTCTGACAGTTACGGTGTTTATAAAAGTTAAATTTTCTTTTTGAGCTACAACTGCTTCAAAAATTAACCTGTCTCTTAGTGGGTTCAATAAGCTTAAATAATATAATTCTGTGATGCCGGGATTTAACCTAAATATTATATCCAACACAGTATCACTTTTGAAATTGTCCACTTTTTTTTTTTTAGGAAATCCTACAATGACTACAAATGAGTTAAATTATTTTTCTAGCAATATTGTGGCTATAAAGCAAAGATTATATATTTAATTTTCTAATACTCACTGCCATTGAGTCATTGACTTATAATAATACCCTGTGGCTTTCCCAGTCTGCAACTGGAGAAAGCCCAGTTTCTCCTGAGGAGCTACTGGTGGTTTTGAACTGCTGACCATGTGGATCACAGCCCAATGCTTAACCACTACACCACCAGGAATCCATTTAATTGTCCAAGATGCTACTATATTTCCACAAGCTTTTAAAAGTCTAATTTTATACAGGTTTCATCAGTGAGGCCAAATATAACTTTTTAATATGTAACAATAATTTAAGGTATCAAGAGGATATAGGTTGTAAATCAGGTATAATTTAGTCATACCATACCAAGACAGTTAAGTAATCTGAAAAAGATGTTTACATTATTGCTCAGTTTTTTTAAAATGCTGACTTTTAAATGAAATTGATGCCTCTATATTCATATTTACAATGTTCCCTATTCTCTTATACTGTCTGGCAAGTAATATGGGTTTATTGATGTAGTTACCAGTTGCAAATTAATTCCTCTTTCAACCAATGCATATATTCCCTTTAATTATTTATTATACCACTTTAGCATCTTCCTAGAATATATAACTGACCCAAGTGGAAAAACACAATACAGAGCTTTATTTCTTCCTTAAAGACTTTCAAGCATCATAGAATGAAAATCCATGAAGAACAGATAAAAAAAAATTTTTATCTTGATTTACTAATTATGAGAATAGAAAGAGATGGGAACAAAAGTAAATGTTTAACCTTTCTTTGCTTATACAAACAAATACTATAACTGTTTATTAGCTGTTTTCTAGCTTCTTCAAGTATAGGACATTCTATGGTTTTCTCACTGAAGAGAAGTGAACAATTAGCCTCATGTAACTCAAAAAAGATGATGTTGGAGAACACAAAAAGGTAATGACTTTGGTTTTTAAGAACCTACTTTTGTTGACCCTGAAATACCAGCCTTTGAACAAAACAAAATAAGATTACAGCAGCAAGCCTTCACGTCAGAACACATCGTGGAATTCTGAAATAGGTAATAGTTTGTTATTGTTCACCCTACTCCCCTCCACTCAATCTGCTATAGCTTCTTCTTGGTTTTCTGGCTTTTTAACTGCAGGTAGTTCAAGGCTTGCCCACTGCATAGGTTCAGCTTTTCTCATGGTGATCTCAATTTTTGTTGCTGTCATAGTTACATAGCTTCGCTTTACGTCAATCACCTGCAATAAAGATAATGAAATAAACATCGGTCGTGCTTTATTAGTATCAGACAGTAACATTAATCTTGCTTTTAAAGAAATAAAGCTCCTAAGGCCATTTCTACACAAGATTTGATATTTTGATAATATTATTCTGTCCAACTTATAATATTACTTTGTATTAACCTTTAAATTATATGAAAAAGTTCTGTTAACTACATAATACTTACGCCCCATAATTTCACATTTTGATGGAATTCCTTCTCTCCTTCAAATACAATGAGAACATTTAACTGTAAAAGAAGACACAGGGAATCAAGTGAATGATCAAATTCAAACTAAAACTTTATAAAAAATTGATTATAAAACCACAAGACATGGATAAAAATCAGCTAAGCTATTGTAAGAAAATGACAGTATTTTCTTTTTTTCCCTCACTTGAGAAAACCATTAAAGAAAAACTGACTTGATGGTTCCTATTGAGAGCTAAATAGCATTCTGTTTCTTGATAAATCTTCATGCACCTCTAGAATGCTTCAGATATAAAACTATTAGGCAGTACTTTTCATTTACAACAGTTTAAGTAAAAGTAACTAAACATTACTTTTCAAGTAGAAAGATCTTAAAGACTAAAAGTATTAAAATCAGCACAAACCCAAGCAGTATTTTAAGAATTACAGTAATATAAAGAATGTGTACAGAGCAGTTCTTATTCAAAGATACTTTAACATACGTACCAATGTACTATTTGCTTCTACTCGACTACGTTCTGGAAGTGAATTTTTAGCATAGATTGAAATGGTGACTTCACCTCCCGTCTGATGCCAGTCATGCCTACATGGAACAACTTTCCCCCCCTGTATTTTAAGAGAAAGTTTACAAATTTACAATATGCTAGAAAATGAAATTCTTAAAAAAAAAAATCGTTTCATGTGCTAAGAAATTAGCATGCAGAACTGACCAATTAGTTGTTAGGCCACGTGATTTCGACAGTTTCCAGGAAAATGTTTAAAAATATATCATAATGCAGATAATACAAATTTTAGACAGAATCATTGAGAATACTTTCTCCTTGATTTGTCCTTTTTAAGGGTCACATAGTTAATATAAATGTTTAAAGACAATAAAAAAACTCTAAATGTTATCTAAATTTAACATTCTATAATCCACTACATATAAAGTCACAAAGGCATTGTCTGAGGACTGAAATAAGAAAGAGATTTGCTTAGCTGCATCAATCACGCGCATCTCAATCTCATGTTCAGTTTGTTTTCCTACAAATCAGAATGTGGGGGATAAAGATCATTGGCCATGTTAAACTGTAAGATGCTGTTATCAAATACTTTTTGGTTCATACTGACATGCAGAAAATAAGATGGGAATTTGTAGATGTAATCTTAACTACTTTTATTTCATACTAGGAAAGCTTTAGCAATCTATTTTTTTAAAAGAGAAAAATAGTGATTTATTTTCTAAATGGAGACAATTTAGGCACATAATCAAAGTAATTGAAACTATCATTTTCAAAGGCTAGTTATACTAATTAAATTTCAATTACATTTATTATTCACTATTTTGTCCTTTAGGTTTAGACACTTAATTCCTCATAACGGCATTCATAGTGGAAAAACAACAACAAAAACCAGCTTCTTCAAGGATTACACTCTAAAAATATTTGTGTATAATAGAATAACATTACCTCTTAACTCATTTATCTTTTGGACCTTGCAGAAAACATATAAGTAGACCTCATTTTTGGCTATATGATATTTTATGGCAGGTGAATTATTACAAATAGGGGTATATTTATAATACTTAACCTCAAAACAAAATAAAAGGGCACATCTAATCATATATTCATAAAAGACAGCAATTGCAAAATAATCAATGTTTAATAAATGTCTTTCCAATGAAAAAATATAAAATTATTTTCTAATTAAAATATTGGTTACATATATCTACATATACTGAATAGGTCCATTATGTTGAGATTATTAGTTAAAACATAGAACAAGAGGTTAACTTAATATATAATAAAAATATATTAACAATATCCAACACACATTTATTTGGCATTAATGTTGCTTGCATTCTTACTATTTAATGGACTTTTGGGGAATTACTTGCACCGCCCCAAGTCTTTTTAAAAAATCTGTCCAGGGAGTACTGATGCTTCATTTTTCTCTTGATAAATTTCCCTGGAGTAGAGGCATTCAAAAGAATTCCAAGGAAACAAGTCTGCAATCCTCCTCTTTAACCACTAGATGGAGTGATTGTGCATCCGTAAATGTTGAGTGACATTTAAGTGGGCAAAAACCAATGATGTTTTAGTTAAATAACATCTAATAAATAGAAAATCAATTTTTTAAAAAGTGGGAACAAGTTTTGGAATTAATTTCATCAATTGAACAAAGATGTTTCAATATTAGCAGACATACCTCCAACAACATACATGTCTATCTTGTAAAAAGGGCACCACTGAGACTAGGTTTAGATTTTTAGCATATCAAAACTTTACTATTTCAGAGAAGGAAGAACGTTTTAAATTATATTACTGCTTTAAATATGACTCCGATGAGTCTAATTAGCTGTGTTATTTTGAAAACGCTACTTACAGCATCTTTTTTAGTCCACATGTGTTTCCCTGTAGTACAACCTTCTTGGGCTAAAAATGTGTTAAAGTCAGAAGTCTTTTTCCTACAACAGCTCCAGTATTTCATCCTTTAAATTATAATAGAAGAATACTTCAGGAATCAAAACTCGCACAACCAATTAACTCCAGATGTACTACAGTGGCAAGTGTGATTATGCATACATATATGTACACACACACACACACACACAAATTTTATTATCATCTAAGCTACTACACAATGAGAACTAGTATACTGAAGGGAAGAAGTGATTTTGAGAACAGAATGCCATTTATTATAATTATTATTGAACTCCTAAGTAAAGATATTCATAACCACCAGAAAATTAATTACTGGTATGACTAAGATGTAAAAATCTGACATTTTAACCACCCAAGTGAAGTGAGAACTTAAAAACTAATGTTTACACAACCAATGACACTTAATAATCAAAAT